CCTCAGCAAGTTTGCTGACAACACAAAGCCGGGAGGAGTGGCCGATGCCCCAGCATGCCATACAGTGCTTCAGAAGGGCCTCGACAGGTTGGAGAGGCGGGCAGAGAAGAATTGTCTGAAGTTCAACAAAGGCAAATGCAGGTCCTGCACCTGGGGAGGAATAACCCCAGGCACCAGCACAGGCTAGGGGCTGACCTGCTGGAAAGCAGCTCTGTGGAGAAGGACTCGGAGATCCTGGTGCACAACAAGCTCTCCATGACCCAGCAGTGTCCCCATGTGGCCAAAAAATGCCAATGGTATCCTGGCCTGCATTAGGAAGAGCATTGCTAACAGGTCAAGGGGAGATGAGCCTGCTCCGTGTGGAAGCATCCTGCTCTGCATCTGGAGCACTGTGTCCAGTTCTTGTCTCCTCAGTACAAGAGAGACATGGGAGTGGGTCCAGCAGAGGTCAACAAAGATGATTAAGGGACTGGGAGCATCTCTCTTATGAGGAAAGGCTGAGAGAGTTGGGCCTGTTCAGCATCGAGAAGAAATGACTGAGAGGGGACCTCATCAATGCCAATAACTAATGCACAGAAACTTCAACCTGAATATGAGGAAGAACTTTACTGTGCAGGTGACCACACACTCAAACAGATTGTCCAGGAGGTTGTGGAGTCTCCCTCACTGGTGGTACTCAAGAACCACCTAGATGCAATCCTGTGAGATGAGCTCTAGGATGACCTTGCTTGAGCAGGAAGGTTGAACCAGATCCACTGTGGTCCCTTCCATCCTTACCCATTCTGTGATTCTGTGAAGCGCCTCTTGCACTAAATAATACAGAAATTAGAGTACACAGGAGATATGATAAAATTTTTGCTTTAGAGATTCACATCCACAGACCCTGTATTATAAGTTTTTCTGAACAGGGGGTCATTTTCAAACATTTTACCATGTTGAAAAAAGTTTGATATGAGTGGAAAAAGCAGCACCCAAGGATGACCATAAGTGTAGTCTTCTGCTTACGGCACTCCACGTAAACTGTTATAAAGATATACAAACACAGAACAGGGATCAGAATTCTAACTCCCTTTATCAAAATTATAAAGTGGTGAATCCTTATTCAACCTAAATTTGCTCTTCTTGCCATTGTGAGGACAGAAACTTAACTTCATTGACTGACTAACCAAAGCTACCGTATCAACCCAATTATCTGCAAAACTATCACGGCAGCCTGTGTTTCTTTGGATATCCTAATAACTATATACCCATGCACATATTAAGTTGATTATGCTATTTCTACCTCTAAACTTTCCTATTCTATATTTCACTGGATTATCAGTTTCTTGACTAAACTGTCCTCATTTGAACATGGTCAATAGTGATGACACTGTAATGCTTCCAGTTTTTTTTTATCATTAGTAGCCATTGTTCAAAAACTGGTTTTAAGGATCATATCTCCATTTTCTTTCCCATACTTACCTACAGCATAGTGAAATCTCTCCAGCTAAACATACTTTGCCACATAACTTTTATTTTTGTGACTATTCTGAAGAAAAATGATTTATGAAATATATTCTTTTATTCTAGCTCTTGGATAGAAAGAATATTCAATAGTATTTATGACTGGCAGAAATGCAACCATTGAAGCATTAAAAATCTTGTTAGTTACTGTAGGAAGATTTTACATGAACTAGAGATCAATGGAAAAGGCTCTAGTACTATCTTACCATTATAAAAGATTTCTCTCAGTTTAACAGACGTCATTTCAGAGTAAACTGTTTCCAAGAAAGCCTGCAATATTAGAATTTGAAAGTTCTTTAGAAGCACTTTTGAGGTTTTACAGCTTGGAAAGTTTTTAAAACTGTTTTTACTGTGCTGATAGTTAAGATTCCTGGAAATTCTGGAATGTGTAGAAGATAATTATCCAGTTATGCAGGTGACAAAATGGTTTTTCTTTTGTACTGACTGAGAGCCAGAAAACATATAATCTGGAATTTCCTGAGAAAGGCTATTTTTCAGATGTAAAATATTCATCTCTGGAAGCCAAAATTTTTCACAAAAACATTCATCAGTTTTAGCAAGGATGGAATTTCTGCCCAGAACAAAAGATTAACTCCAGAACAAAGCAACAGCCTCCATATTAACCTTAAATCATAAGCTACAAATGGAATTCAACCCTCTGCTAAAATAAGAAGATATGTTTAAACTTCAGGCTTCAAAAATCCAGCTGCATATCCTTGCTCTCTGGATTTTTTCTTCTACTTTTTTTTTTTTTTTCTTTTTTTGGGTGGATGAAACTAGTTGTTTGGTCCATTTTGATGTAGAATTGGGCACTTTCTAAAATTCTGACACTTTGAAAAGACACAAAGATTTTCCATCAAGCTCTTCCGGGACTTCACCAATTGTGAGACTGTAGAAGAGAGTTGCTTGTTCTGAGAATACCTGTATAAGTGCTATGTCAGGTTAGAAATGATACCTGCAGAATAACTTACATAGAATTTTCTGTAACAGTCCTTGCTAAAATGACACTTCCCAGCAAAGTACAGACAGCAATGACATACTGCATGCCAGAAGTACCTCCAGACAAGCTTTTTTCCATGACTGCAATAAAGAAACCAAGTTTGTCAAGGAGATAACTGCCCTGTTTCTTTGTCATATTGAAAACTGTTAGCTCACTATGTCTCAGATGGACATTTTCATAATCTCACCTAAAACTCACTTTCATTTTATCATTGTGCCTCTGTGTATACAAAGCAAGATTCAATTTTTACGTTTGCTCACCTTTGATGTGCAAACACAAAACATTTATATAACAGTAAAATCTATTTTTAAATAAAGGAAAAGTGTAAAACTGAACTTGTCATTTGTGTTCAAGAGTAACCGACAGACGTTCTTCCCTATTCTTGGATCTTAAGGAGAGTATGGATTTTAAGACATAATGTCAAGTACCCTTATCTCATTGCTTCTTCATGATGAAGTCTGCACTTTCTGATATGTTAGTGCACTGGCATGAGTATCAGAAACACATTTTTGTACTTTTACCTAAAACATGCTGTTGCACATCATATCTCTCATAATTTCTTAGACCAATTCAACATACTTTTCTTAATCCAAAAATTGAAGTATATACTTTGTGTTCTCAATCCCTTAGAAAAAGATGTTCTCTGTTGCATTCTGAAGTAAATGTGAAAGATCCAACAGATTAGCTAACAGCTTGAAAGACTGCATACAGTGATGGCAACACTTTATGAACTAAATTCACTGGGTTTTAATTTGGAGATTTTTCACTACCTAATTTATTTCCTTTCTCTCTTAGAAATAAAATCAATGAAAGACCAAACTATCTCTGTCTTCAATTTTTATGGATAGAAACAACCTAGAAAGGCAGTCTGCCATATCATGAATGAACACATAATAAATATCTTTTAAAAATCTTTTTTGTACCTATAACTAAAAATCTAATTAGTTCTGAAAGCAAGGAAGATGAGATATCATCAGGTTGAGTTTAAAATTTAAGTACAATGAATAAAACTAATTCAGGAATCACTACCTTACAACTTACATTGTTCTTGAAATTAATCTCTCTTTATATGTAGGAAAAAGAAACCAACCAATCAAGCTAGTTTGATTCTATATTTCAAGGGCATTTCTCAGTTTTATAACACCCTTTACATATATCTTACATTAAAAACAAACAATGAAAACAAAAACATTTTTTAAAATTAGGAAATCACATCAAAATGCATTTTCATCATAAGAAAATTTAGCAATAATTAAACCATAGGTGATACATATTTAAAGAAGAAAAGTTCCATTTAGGAAATATGTTTTGAAACAAATGCTTAAAAATGAGAAATCAGTAACTATAACACTCCTATTGTAAATCAGGATAATTCTGACAGCTCTGCGCTTTGCCAAATGTCTAAAATGATGGATAGTATGAAGTAGAAAACAGCTACTGAAAGGGGAAAGGAATATAAAAGCTCCTTATAAAAAGACAGGGCAGTGCTCATTGTTATTCAAGCACATTAGCTGCCATATCCTGTTTCCATTGACTGCAGGGAAAGCTTTAGCATTGACTTCAAACAGGTGCAAGTCCCATAAGACTTAAAGGGAATAAAACGTACAGTCACGATATGAAAGCAACAGTGTATAAAGTGTGGTGAGACAGGATATGTAATTCCAATCTGGTACACAAGAATCTGACAAAGCTATTTAAATGCAGTGCCAAGTAAGGATGCAACTGAAAAAAACCAGACTGCTAAGCCGAAATTTGGCAGGTCTTCATTCAATACTACAAAAAAAGCGGAGGAAAAATGCTACAGAAAGGAGAGTAGTAAATTATAGTAGAGGGAGAGAACAAGGGAGACCCTAGAAGGAGCAATAAGCATCATCCTGTTCTGTAGCGATACAGTATCACTTGTTCAGGACACAGCTGCTGGAAGGCTTCAGTGGACACTGCAGGCTGGTCTGCTCTGAGAATTGCTACAACTGAGACCCAAGTATATTATCCACTTTTATTTATTCTCTTCTGTATTATCATGAGCATTTGAAAATGTCTGGGGACTTCTTTTTCAATTTATATAATCTTCAAAGAGAAGTCTTAGGCTATATTCTTACATCAGCTGAGTTAAGCACAAAGTCCTCAATTCTATAAAGAAAGTAGCTAAGATGTCATTATATTAATTAGAAGCTGAGTACTTATCCAAAAGGAAACTATATGACTTCAAATTTCTTTTCAGATGGAAAAGAAAGCTATCCAACACAGCAACTAGATATCTAAAATAGGGGAAACAAACAGCAGTCTCAATATTAAACTCATCTGGATAAGTATTACATCAGGATGACCAAACCTCAACATTTAATTTTAGAACCAGATTTTGACATTAAAATGAAGACTGAAGGTAAATATTTTGAAGGGAATCAGGCAAGACTAGACATGACTGTAAGAGTTAAGGCAAAGATTAAGCAGCTCTTTCATAATTATTAAGTTTTATGATGAGAAGGTAAATATATACCTGTGTAAGCATGGGAAATCCGAGGTTCCTGCATCCATTACAAGGTGTCAATGCCTCCCATAAACCTGAAGGACCGCATGTATTTTCACCTGCATCATCATCATCTTCCTCCCTTGGTGATAAACGCATTGAAGAAGGCCTCTGTGCATTAAAAAACAATACTTTAAAATTAAATACACTCATATATTGTAAAGAAACCTTTCACTTAATGAAAAGAACTTAAGAATGTTCCATTTATAAATTCCAAAAGATAAACTGCTATTTTAATACAAGGTTCCTACTCAACTGCTAAAATGCTGTATGAAAATCACACTTTCTAAGGAAGGCGCATATTGAGCTTTCTGCAATTATACTTTAAAGATAAGTGAACATAATACACACTAAAAGTATGTATTTATTGTCTTTATTATCAAGAAATTGGAAATTTTTATTTCATTTTAGTTTAAAATTTGCTGTAATATCATTAAGTTTAGGATATTCCACAGCGAACAAAAACTAACATTTTAAAAAAATAAAATACAATCCCCAAGAAAGAAAATATGAGAGGATCTTATTTCAGCACTTTAATTGTGTTCAGAAAGTACAGCTGTACTACATTTGCCTGTATGAGTCCAAGGTTTTTGCAGAAAAAAAAGACTAAATCAATCAAAATACGAGGTTTTGATTTTTATTTTGTATTTATCAATAATAAATGTGTTAGCTTATTTTGTAGGCAAAAAATGTATTTAAAAATGTCTTACTTTGCTTCATTGTCTGAAAGGAACGAAAGGTATCATGAAAAGTCATTCAGATGTGAACATTGTGACTTACATATTGGCCTCAGTGATAAGGGGGAAAATCCTGATTTTTGCTTAAACCAGTACCCTAATTTTCTAAGACAGAGAAGTAGAAAGATATAACAGTTTCCATATATTTATGTTATTTTGCTACACAGGATAGTCCACCCCAACTGAATTACAGGAGCAACTTTTATTCATTTCAAGAGAAGAAGGAGGAAAGCTAACCCAGCAATAAATGATCTTCAAAATCTCATGTCAACGAAAATTATTACAAGTTTAAAAAAAGTAAATTTTACATCTTAATTCTTTGCCCATACTTAAATTGGAACAGGCAATAGCTGTTCTAGCCTGCTTGACAGCTGCTTGAGCAGCCTACCTGATGTTCAGATACTAAATGCTGTCTTCAGGAATGCTTCTTTCAGAAGTGGCTGGATTTTTGTTCGACCAAAATAACGCTGTTTGAGACAATGGCTGACCACAACTATTAACCTCAACTCTAAACCACCGCTATGAGCCCCATATAAAAATAATTTTCAAAACCCCAACACATAAGTGTGGATTATTTTAGCCAACAGAATAAATAAATGCATGGAGTCTGCTGCCAGGAAGGAAATGGAGAAATGAAAGAAAAGTAGAGGGGGAAGAACTACAGAAACAGCAGCAGTTCTCAAGATGAACACAAGCTGATGGAAACTGTAACAGAAGCAAAGGCACCACACAGACAGGCACTGACTTAAATTGTGTGACATCTGAGGATCATTTAACTTTTGACTCTTGCTGTAACTTCTTAACACAGGTGTGGTTGGTATACCATTAACTGAAGCACGGAAAATAGTTCTAAATTCTATTTCAGCTTGCTCACCAAAGATGAGAAACACAATATATCCATCTCTACTAGTCTGATTCCCCTTGGTTAGAAAATGGTTGTTCCCTTGTTGCAGATTTCATTAATCTAGCTGTATCTTCTAAAGTTAGGTGGCTTTATTTACTTTTTATTTTAAAAGTCAATTTTGAAACATTCTTAGCATGATATTTCATTAGGTTATTTTGACACTCAAGTAGTACCACAGAATGTGTTGCCATAGCAACCAATATTCTCACACTGATTATTAAAAGGATTGGGTTAATTTTGCAGAGTGTGGGTTGTGAAAGACTATTATTGCTATGTATTTGCATAGACAAAGGAAGCAGACTACAAGCCTTTCCTCTCTATTTATGACGCCATCTTTCATGGTGGCTGCCCTACGTTTATATTTTAAATCTCAGAATTGCTGTATCAGAGAATAAAGCACTTCTTGCCCCCTGGAGCAAAAAGCAAAGAACTGCAGCAGTGCTTGGCACAGGAAAGCAGGTAACAAATATTAGCTGTGACCTTACAAGCCAATGAAACTGAATGAAGACAAAAGTCACAGAAAAATGTCAGTGTACCTTCTAAAGGAAAAAAATACACAGTCATAATATCAGTGAGAATTTTTCAACACAACGAAAGGAAGATGAATAATGAAATTCAATATATTTGAATCACTGAAGGGAGAACATATGAGTATTCAGCCATTTCAGGAACAGAGTGAAGAAAAACCATACCAAATAATTACTGAATGATAGAGGAAAATGAGAGTTCTATTATTTCCATTAGATGCATTCTATATAAATAGCCTAAGATAGACTGAGAATCACAGAAATTTAATGTCAATATGAAAGAGAAGTAGGAAATATTATATAGTCAGATCTCCTGATCACTCAAAAAAAGAGCAGTCAATGTCAGAGTTCATTACACACACTGTTGGAATAAACTAACTGGTACTCCCATGCCAGTAGACAATCCAGGTATGAACATGATACAGGCTAATTTACAGACTACTGCAGAGTAGGGTTAGTTCTTCTTATACTGAATTACTTATACTGAATTTTCATCTTGCTCAGATTTCTGCTACCGATAAAGCACTAAAAAGGAACCATTAGGGAAAACCTATGTGAAGGGTCAAGAAAAAGTTATTGCTATCATTTTCTCACCCATCCCCACTATGAGAAGCCCTGTTCTTCCCAGACAACAGGCACAAAGAGATACGTTGGATTTACTGCGGGGAAAGAGAGCTGCATTTGTAAAGAGCAGGGAAAGAGTTAACAGCTGTATGAGAGAAACAGGAAGCACTAGTCCCCCAAATTTCATAGACCAGGTTTGCACAGCCTGGGGAGAGGAATGCGTTAGGAGGAGAAAAACAAGATACAGAAAGATCTACAAATCAACTCACAGACCTCAGACTGTCACACAAACCCATAAAACTCCAAACCCAGACCACTCTGTTTTCTGTTATCCTCTCACAGCCTTCATTCCTTTCCCAGAACTCCCTAATTTTTCTGTTCTGTTGCATAATTTAATTTTGCCTCCTTAGAGATCCTTTGAACATGAAAATCTAATTCTATGTGTGCTGCTGGGAAGCCTTGAAATAGCCCTGAAGGGAGAGTTTTAGTGAAACCAAAGTTATTTATGCCCACTTCTCGGAAAATAAATAAATAAATAGAGAGGAAGATACTTCTGCCAACTAAAGAAAAATAGACACAAATAAGAACCTTTTATTTATGCCTGTTTTGAGGGAAAAAAAAATAAAAGTTAACATAGTTAGAAAATGCCCCCTAAATCACAGTTGCTCAATTAATTGAATTAGACATTATGAAATGGCAAAGTCGATATAAACTGCAATACTAACCTTCTAAAAGGCCGCTTCTGCCTAAGTTAGAAGAGACATGAGTATAAGCATCATATATCCTCAAACAAAACAGACAGAAAACCCTACATTATATTAGATATGATATGCAAAAGGAAAAATTAGTAGAGAAACTGCAAGATATTAATAGGGAATAAAAGCTTTATTAAAAGTTTTAGTTTTTACTGAAACACTGAATTAAGTATTAAACATTGGTTATAGTAGTAAGAGGCTAACAAAGTAATTTCTCTACGTATACGAGAAAGAATAATAATAACGATATAGCAGTGAAAGAGTAGAGAGGTGTAGTGTAAGGACATTGGACCACTACAATTAATGGCAAATTTTCTTCAGACTCTACTGGGCCTGACACATTACCTCTCATTTTCATAACTCATGACCATTTAGATTAATTTGAAAATTTAGGTATGGAAGCCTTCCTCTTCATGTCCCCATCTACATAAAAGGCAAAATTTGCCTAGTAGGATATTTCAGACTGAAGGACTCTTTATTCTATAAAGAGGCTATTTATTCTCTCAGAATATGTATGTACATCAGATTCGCTATCACAATAACTTGACATCTCTCTCCTGATCTAAGAGAGCAAGTCAATATTTATCAACAGACGAATGATGAATACAGACAGAAAAAGCAGAAAAAGTCTGTTTCACTCTTAAAAGTCAACAAGAAGAGAAGGAGAGAATAGCTTTAATCTTAACCATTATTCACAGCTACCAAGTTCACAGCTCAGGCAGCTGTACACCATGTATAAAACATACATAAAGTTCTGGTCTCTTTCTAGAGATATCAACTACTTCCTGTCTACCATGTGACCTTATTATCTAAGCAAGTTTTCTCTAGGAATACAGTAAGTGATAAAAAACCTCTTCTTTCAGTCCCTGTTTTTCTCAGCTTTTAGTGAAAACTGGTCTGCTTTCTGCCTTGACATTTGTAAGCAGCCACTGCTAGGCAAAACCAGACTCAATTCCCTTGTTTCAGGATACAGAGGAGACTTTCCTGTGTCTCGTGAAACTTAAAACCAAACATCAAAATCTTTACTTCTTGTATCTCTGGTTTTTTTCATATTATCGTCCATTTGTAGAGGTATTGCACATAACCTCTCAGACAGTATTCACTAGAGCAAGACAGCATCAGCAAACTACCGAAGGTACAAAATAATAGGACATTTACCATTTGCTATTGCATCATAGTCCTGGCCATTAGCATTAACTTATTTTTATCTTGTAGCATATCACATATTAAGAAAACGAGATTTTGAAACAGAGTAGCAAAGACAAAATCAGAATCCTTCCACTTACAGAAGACAGAAAGCAACCAGACACTTGATAACCAAATGCTAGCACTCAGTGTGCAACAATGAGGTCAGTAGGTTTCTTCTGAAGAAATAATTTCCCAGACATAGGGCCATGCAAGTATTTTCTATGATCCTAACACAGGTATGCCTCTACTCCTCCTTTGCTGGGTCCAAAGGACCCTACCTATGTTGTGAAACAAAAGTAAAAAATTAAATTTTTTGTCTCGTATTCTATTTCGACACCATACTAAGAACTAATAGAGTGGGAAACTGCTCCTGAATGTCTTCTATAAATTAGAATGAACAGGTTGATCTCTGCAGCAGCTGTTTCCAGCAGCTGTG